GGCAAGAGACGCTACAACAAAACTGTCACGGAGACTGGCTCTCATATGGCAAGAGATGCTACAACAAAACTGTCACGGAGACTGGCTCTCATATGGCAAGAGATGCTACAACAAAACTGTCACGGAGACTGGCTCTCATATGGCAAGAAATGCTACAACAAAACTGTCACGGAGACTGGCTCTGGCAGTGGTATGCAATTGCAGTATAGAAGTAGCTTGACTCAAATTGGACTTTTCCAACCTAATACTCAGACAAGTTGGTCCTTTAACATACTAAATCCACCATTCACAGGACACAACATGCGAATAAATTACAACCACATATTACAGACAAACCTGTCATGCCCTGGCTTGGCCAGGAATCAGAATTGGAGGCTCACGAATAAAGAGACTGTTACAGACATTCTCTGCTCAGCTGAGGAGGAGGAAGATGCAATTATTTGGCCATGTCCTTCAAATCAGATGAGGAAGCACCTGAAGAGGTGTCAGAAAACTTCAGTGGTCAGCCATAATTATTGACTGAATGAAAGTGGCAATCCTTACTTTAAGATATTAAGTGATGTTCACCTTTTGAAATTTTACACTTCATTGTCACAGCTAAGATGGTTGAAAGATTATCAACCGTGAGGATTTAGTACTTCATGGTTAGGTGATGTGATGTACACATTAAATCTGATGAATATTGTTCGGTTATGACAACTCTATGGGTTGTTTGCTCAAGAAGCCAGCAACTAAAAAGGCACTGCAATAATTACTTCCAAGCACCGTAGTGATTTTCCATTGCAAAATGGTAGTCCATTTTGTGAAAATCACGTTCTCCAGGGCCTTGACAGTTCCCTGGATAAGCCACTGGCTTTGAGAAAAAACTTGTGCACTTGACTGTATGCAATTCATCCATATATACTGAGGAAGTATTCTGTACAAGCACTGAAAGTGCATTGGATGACTGATTTTATCTAAATAGGTCATTTTACATATGGTTGCTTTGATGATAACTAACAGAAGTTTATCGATTTGCGTATGACAATACAGTGTCTCAACATTCCAAAGTTGGCTGCCTTTCTGTTTAGCAAGTAACTATTAACTAAAACCATAGTTGATTTTAAGATGTAATGACATACAGATAGTAGTAGACTGAATATTAATTTTGAATAACTAAAAGTTCCTTTCAGGAAATTCATAAATCATAGTCAAAGCACTTTCGTTAACGTATGTATATGGTGAACAAAAAAAAAATTTTTTTTCATTCAAGAAATAAGATGACCTGAAAGGTAGACTTCAGTATGAATAAACATTTTATAAAAAAATTAATTTCTTTAGTATATTTCTCTTCCAGTATAGATTGTACATCATTTCTATAGTTTAGGGTAAGGAAATGTTTAGTTAATTAATATTCGCCACATGTTTCAAGTTATGAAGCAAAAGTTTAGAAGTTCAAGATCCATTGAAGAAGGTAAAGAAACACCCATTAGGAAACAGTGTTCTTTTATAATCAGATTATCAAAAACTGACCATTAGAAGGTGGTAACGTTTCACTGACTAACTCGTTTAACTTATTTACAGTTCATCTTGGCAACAAGAAGAGTTTCTATTACAAAACTCAAGTAGGAATACGTGATGAAATATTTTCTCCGTTTCAATGTTCTAAAATACAGCATCATGCTCACACTGCTCATTGGATGATACAAACAGAATTGAAGTGAAACGACTTACACTCGTTACTCTGTCACATAATGTACATACAAGTATTTAAACTTTTGAGAATCTAACAGTTAAAGGTTTAGCTTAAGTTTTGAACTTTCAAATACGTATCAGCATATACTTTTTTTTTAATGATGTTGGTCTTGTGCTCATTTAGAAACCTGAAAGTGCAGAGTTAACGAGAATAAAGTTAAATTGATGGTCATATGCAAGTATAGATAAACAAAATTATGTATTGGAATTCTATTAAGGAAAAGTCAAGTTGTAAGAGATAGTTGTGATGTTTATTAATTTTAAAGAAACTTTCATTCAAACACATCTAAAAATTCTAAGGAAAGACACAATAGAACTTATGAACACAAAATGAATGATAAAAAACACTAAATACTTGCTGGTGTACAGAGGTGTTTTTTTTTCAAAGACTTAATTTATTTAATAAAGATTAATTTTTACCACGAGTACATAAGCACAAACTTAAACAAATAATAAAACATTGCATTTAATCATTTCTCGAGAATATTTACTCAGTGTAACTTCCGTGGGATGGGTATTCTTCCTTTTACAACTTTGTTTTCTCACCTGTGAAAATAAAATTAAACATGAATAAAAAAGCTTGCACATTATTTCTTTAAAATTTAGTGTAATCCTTAAAAACACTAATTATTATAAAGAAAATGTCATCTCCCACGTTTCAGTTGGTCAAGAAATGTCATCTCCCACGTTTCAGTTGGTCAAGAAATGTCATCTCCCACGTTTCAGTTGGTCAAGAAATGTCATCTCCCACGTTTCAGTTGGTCAAGAAATGTCATCTCCCACGTTTCAGTTGGTCAAGAAATGTCATCTCCCACGTTTCAGTTGGTCAAGAAATGTTATTTCCTATGTTTTAGTTAGTGACAGGAATTTATAAGAGTTTAGATCTGTAATTGTGAC